AGGTTCGAGGAGAGGGTGACTTGCGCCATGGGGCACCTTCAAGAAGTGATGGGAGAGAGAGAGTTGCTGATTCAGCTTTGGGTCCCAGTGGAGAGAGGGAGCAGAAGAGTGCTGAGCACAGAGGAGCAGCCTTACTCCCTCAACCCCTTCTCCCAGAGCCAGAGCCTTGCCTTCTACAGGGACGTCTCAGCGGCCTACAGCTTTGCAGCAGAGGCTGGCTCGGACCAGCAAGTGGGATTGCCCGGGCGTGTGTTCTTGAGGAGGATGCCTGAGTGGACCCCGGACGTTCGATTCTTCAGGAGTGAGGAGTATCCTCGCGTCGGATATGCCCGTAGGTACCAAGTCAGAGCCTCCCTGGCTCTCCCGCTTTTCCAAGGAACCTCAGGGGACTGCGTGGCCGTGATGGAGATGGTCACCACTCGTCACAACCTAGAGTATGCCTCCAACCTTGACAACATATGCAATGCCCTTCAGGTAATAAGATTGGTGGGTGGTGTAGTGTTATACGAAAAGGAAAGTCATTAGTTATGTATGATTGAGTCTAAATTTGTTCCACCATATTGTAAAAAACAAAAAAAATATAGTTACTTGGCAATATTCTTGTCACTGCACTGTTGGAACACTGCTCAGCATTGACTAGCTCTCCCATGTCTTTGCATTATTTTTTTTGGTTGACGTAAGCAACCTTTGGGGAGCTTCAATGGTTGTCTTCCGTTGCTTTTTATAAACACACTTTTCAAAATTCTAAATTAGAAATTCCTTCAGGCCTTTGATCTCCGGAGCTCAGAGACCTCCATTGTTCCAGCCTCTCTCAAGGTCAGTTTCTCTAACTCCTTGCTCTCTGCCTCTTTTATTTACGTGCCTCTCTCTCTCTCTAGCCTCAATGATGATGCCTTTTCCACAGCCCCAAGTCGAAGAACTTCACACAGAGGTGGCCACCATTCTCCAAGGCATCTGCACCTCACTCGGACTCCCTCTAGCTATTACGTGGGGCTACAAAGACTCTTGCCTTTCTGCTCTAGCCTCTGCCTGTTACGCCGCTGACCAGAACAGCCGCTTCTTCCTGGCCGCCTGCTCAGAGCACCATCTTCTGCGCGGAGAAGGCATCGCTGGAAGAGCTTTCGCTACGAGCAGACAGTGTTTCGCAACAGATGTGGCCGTCTTCAGCAAGTGGAGTTACCCTCTCTCCCACTACGCCAGGATGTTCGACCTCCACGCTGCTCTGGCCGTTCCTCTCCTGACCAGACGCAGCCGCTCTGTACATCTTGTCCTCGAGTTCTTCTTCCCCAGAGACTGTCTTGATACCCACACTCAGAGGCTGACCCTTAACTCCCTCGTCTCCCAACTTAGCCTACACTTCCAGAGTTCACCACATCTGATGGTGGACGACCAACAACTTGCAGAACAAGTGAGGGACACAGCCACACCCCTTACGGATCACTCTAGCGGTCTTGTAGTAGCAGAGGAGACCTCATGGATATCACTCAAGGATAAGAAGGCCAAACAAGTGTCGGTTTCTTGGGAGTCTCAGGGAGAAGAGTTGAAGCTTGGTGGGGGTATTGGGGAGCCTTCTTTCTCTTTGGAGAACCGAAAACGCAAAACAAAGGCTGAAAATGGTATCACTTTAGAGACTCTCAGACAACACTTTGCCGGTAGCCTCAAGGACGCAGCTAAAAACATTGGTGGTGCGGTCTTTTATATAGATGCTCTCCTTTGGATGCATATACATATACATGTTAATGATGATGGTATTCTCTTAATTATATTATACATTGCAGTATGTCCGACTACGTTGAAGAGGATCTGCAGACAACATGGAATCTCAAGGTGGCCATCGAGGAAGATCAAGAAAGTAGGACATTCTCTTCGGAAACTGCAGGTGGTGATGGACTCTGTTCAAGGAGTTCAAGGCTCTCTCCATCTCGCCTCCTTCTACTCAAGCT